GAGGGTAAGCGAGAGAGAGAGAGAGAGAGAGAGAGAGAGAGAGAGTGAGAGAGAGGGTAAGCGAGAGAGAGAGAGAGAGAGAGAGAGAGAAAGAGAGAGATAGAGAGAAAGGGGGAGAGTAGCTGGTAATATTAAGATAATCGCTATGTAGCGAGAGAAAGCGCGAGCATCTATACGCACCAGCTGCGCCCGTCCAGGCTCCGCCTCCTCCCAGGCTCTCTTCTGCGCTATCACCTCGTCGCGTCTGCTTCTATCCTTCTTCAGCTCAAAATCCTCCTGTAATTCAGACAGGCGTCTCTACAACTGTAACCCGACATCGAATCGAAATAGTCTAACATATGTCAGCCGACACCTCTATAGAACAGACGCCTGTTTATTAACGACACTTGGGGTTTGCCTTGAGTGGTAGTTGTACAGTAAAACCACCTCTATAGAACAGACGCCTGTTTATTAACGACACTTGGGGTTTGCCTTGAGTGGTAGTTGTACAGTAAAACCACCTCTATAGAACGGACACCTGTCTAGCTGGGACAATTTCCAGGCATCGCTGCTCTAGTGTATTAACGTGGCCTCTATCACGCAGGCCAGGCACGTGCCTCTATTTATACACGTAGTCCCTCTATATCCCAGGCAGGCATGTACTGTATACATGTAAACGTCGCCTCTATACACAGGAGGCACCTAGCTCTATTCATTAACGTGCCTTTACTGACGCAGAGGGCACTTGCACTCCTATTATTAACTGGCCTCTATACGCAGCGAAGCGTACGTGCGCTTATTTACTTAACGTGGCCTCTATATGGCAGGTCGCGATGTTGCTCATATTCATTAACGTGCCTCTATACACCAGAAGGATGTGCCTCTAGTTTTAGTAGCTAACGCGTGGCCCGTCTATACACCAGGAGGCATACGGCTGCTGCTATTTATTAACGTGGCCTTTCATACACAGGAGCGCATGTGCTTATATTAGTGAAGCGTGGCCTTCTATACACGAGGCCAGCGCACGTGCTCCTAGTTATAACGTCGCCTTCTTATACACAGGCAGGCCACCCCGTGCTCTATTTTATTAACGTGGCCTTTATCACAGGAGGCACGGGTCGCTCGTCATTTATTTAACGTGGCCTTTATACACAGAGGCACGTGCTGAAGCGTGGAGACGGCCTCAGCACACAGGGCGGGGCGCGCGTACGGGCCACTCCACGCCCAGCCTTCTCATCAACAGTACAGTTCAGTCATCGGCGAGGAAGACGTCATTTCTGGCGCGGAACCTGACGCAGAGGACGAGAACCTCTTGTTTGTGCAGGCGGCCGACGGCTTGTTGCCTCGCGCGCGCGCGGCGCTTACTGCGACACGAGGGTATTACTCAAGGTTCTTACTGCAATACATGCGCTATACCGTCGCGCATTTGTGTTCAGCTGTAATACATGCTCAGTACACGTGATTTTCTGGGGACTGCGGTATGCGCGGTGTTATATGCAGGGCCGTTAATAATGACAAAATCCTCAGATTATTAATTAATCGTCATTAAAATTTGTCATTAAGTTAATTAATCGCTCATTAAAAATTTTCATCTATTAACCCTGTATATATATGTATTTCGCGACGCCCTGTAACCGAGACGCTATTTTTAATGTAAATTGTGAACGCCCGCTATTTTAATAAACCCTTGCCCGCTACTCTAATAGCAGATATTTTATTGTACGCTAATTATACTCCTATAACGGTCACAGCGATTACGGTCATGATTACACCATTCATGCCCCATGATTACACCATAATGAGTAATCTGGTTGCAGACATTGCCACCATAGTTCGGTCGAGGCACTTGAGTTCCCACACTGACCCCAGCCCAGTCTGTCCACGCCAGCTTGATCTCGCCGCACTGTACAGGGCCACTGTCCTTAGCTGCGAAAAGCCAGCAACGAAGGCAGTCAAGAATAAATTCAATGCAGGGGCAGACTCGTCAACGGTTTACCAGATAACGAATTAACAATTTTTCGATAACGCTTACATAAATCGTTTGGGCGATTCATGCTTGTTAAAGCGAGAAGAGAGAGAAGAATAGGGCGTTGAGGCCTGTGTTGATATACATCTTAAGATCCCTAATTAATCGTTAATCTATGTCAAATACCGGGTAGTAGTTTCTGATGAGAGAATCGCGATAATATCAGGATTCACATCGTGATATTATTTTCCATATTACACAATTCATGTCAGTCTACTCGTCAAGCGCAATCTAGCGTAGGGAAAGGCGTGGGATGTTATTCCTCGGTTTATTATACCCTACCAACCGGCGGCCACTAGATTATAGTGCAGGTCTACAACTCCTACATAGGCTAATCTGTGTGCAAGGAGTCCGCCAAGAGAAACCCCACTTCCAAGAACTGTCCTTATAGACAGGGTGGCGCCGCTTTACGCAGGTAACCCCACTAACGCAGTCCGACCTCTCTCACGCGTCGCAAGGTGTCCGCGACTCTCTGCACGACGCTCCGCCAAGGCGGGGTCGGCAACTCCCAGCAGACGCCAGCCGTCGATTCGCGCTGCGTGCGTTCCGCTACACTCCCCGAGGTCTGGCGCCCCCGGCGGCATGTCCCCAGATTGCGTCCCGGCGGAAGGAGCGCCGCTGGGCTAGTCAGAGCGCGCAGCGGCCCAGCGCTGGGGAGAATGGGAGCCGACAGAGGGGGCGAGGGCGGGGCGGCCGGGGTGCGGGGAGAATGGCGCGAGGCGGTGGCGGCGCGGCGCGGACGGGGGAGGGGGGGGGGCCTGGCGGGGACGGGACGGGCGGAGGGGGCAGCGGAGCTGGGAGGGGGGGGCGGAGCAGGGGGCACACCATCGTCGGTCGCGGAATTGCGGGAGTGCCGGTGACACCGTCTCGGACGCGGCCACCGCGGCGCTGGTGGGAGGCTCATCGACCCGACCGCTGGATCTGCACCCGGCGACCCACCGGACGGACGTCACCGGTGAGTGAGACACGTGCCGCGTGTCTGATGGCCTGCAGAAGACATGGAAAGGGGTTCCTACACGACCTGTAGGTATATACATGTAGTAGCAGCAGCAGCAGCAGCCCGCAGCAGCTAGCAGTAGTAGCAGTAGCATAAGCAGCACAACAGCATCAACAACAAACCAAACAACAATGAACAACCACACGAGCCAGCCACCAGGCATCATCATCATCACCATCATCAGCAGCAGCAGCAGCACGAATAACAGCACCCAACACATATACCTCCAAAAGATATCACAAACT